GAGAAGGAGAGAGAGAGAGAGAGAGAGGCGAGAGAGAGGAGAGAGAGGGAGAGAGGAGAGAGAGAGAGAGGAGAGAGAGAGAGAGAGAGAGAGAGAGAGAGAGAGAAGCTCATTGAAAACCTCATTGGACACAAAACAAACAACTGTAGTGTCAAACCTTGGACGCTCAGGCTCAGAAGGGGGTGAAAATAGCTGGCGGCAGCTGCATGCAATCGATAAGCTCGTGACCACAATCTGGTGGGTGACCCGCGGATCAACGCAGCACGGGCTTCCCAACCGGGCGCGTCGTAACGGGCGCCGGCTTGGTGGCCGTGGTCGTACCCCCCGCGCGTGGCAATGGGTCACAGTGTGGTCGAAATACCCCGCTGCTGACCCAGTGCTCCAGTGTTGAGTATAAAAGCCGCCGCTGCTAGGACTCAAAACAGGCAATCTCCAGTCATCAGCAGAACGCTCAGGTGAGTCCTGGCTACCACGACTGATAATCAACGGAAAATGCTACGGGTATCTTATGAATTTTGTATTGTAGTGATAGCACGCCAATTTCTAGTTATATCATTGTTTCGTTCGTGTCATGCTTTTGACTTGTATAAAGGATAAGAGACGCATTTTACGCCGGGCAAATGGAGCCTCTACAAAAGATGACAAAATAATGAAGGATGAGTGATATGGTCTGTTGTAACCAGGGGTGGCGCAGCAGGGGACGGGGCAGAATGGGTAAGAGCGTGCTTTTGCCCCGACCCTCCCCCGACATTTTGGGAGGTCTCCTTTGCCCACACCGAGGCAATCGTCCAGAGCGCCATTAATCACGCTGTTGAACGTCCTTCTGCCTGTGACTAATTAGGGCTAGAAGGCATTCATTCCACGACGTTCTCCGCCTCCAGACCGGTTTCTTCCGCCATGAAGAGCGCCATCCCACTGCTGTGTCTGCTGTCGTCGGCGGCGGCGCTGCCGTTTGGCAGGATCGGCGCCAGCACCGGCCTGGCCGAGGGTTCCGTGATGGAGGGGGAGAGCTTTGGCCCGCAGGGTGTCAGCCGCATCACCAGCACCTCGTCTCGCGCAGGGGTGAGGCACCCGGCTTGGAGCTTTCGCTGAACCTAGGGGGCTCAGTACTAGAATGGGTAACGCTAGCTCTGTTGACCAACGCTACATGTTTCGAGTCCAAAAATCCATGGAACTCTTGTTCTGTGGACGGGATTTAAGCAGCGTGGGTGGCAATGCTGGTTAGTCGCCAAGTGAGCCACGTATCGTCTGTGAGCAACGTTTAGTGATGCAACTTTTACTAGGCCCTGTGACTGTAATGCATGTTTGAAGTGTGTGCTTCGTTGCCTGTCTGGAAGGAATCAACATGCCATGTCTAATTATACTCTCTGTGTTGCAGGGCACAGCCTCTCATGGCTCATCTAGCTTCAGCGATGCGCACGCCAGTAACAACCGTGACGGCACCGGCGCCAGCAACTCCTTTACCAGCGCCTCATCCAAACAGTTTGGAGGCAATTCGGGCATCGGCTTTGGCAATCTCGGAACCGGATTTCAGCAGTTCGGAGGTGGTTTTAACAACCTGCATGGAAGTGGCTTCGGCCAGTTCAACGGGGCTTTGAACCATCTCCCAGGAGGCATCGGTCCCCTCAGAGGAGGTTTCAGCCCTCTTGGAGTAGGCGTCGGTCATCTCGGAGGAGGCGTCGGTCAGTTCGGACGCGGTCTGAACCGTTTCGGGGCCGGTCGTTTCGGCCAGTTCGGTAACAGATTTGGCAGCGGCCTGAGCCACCTTGGTGGTGTCCACGCGCCCCACGTGGGCAGCTTCAGCTGGCACTAGCAGGGCGGCTTCGGTGGAATCACTGGCGGGTATGGCTGCTTGCAGACTCATGCAACACGGCATACACGTCGGTCAAGTGTATACCTTTGTGCTTAGTTCATGTTTCATGGTGAATGTGCCATAAAAATGCGCCCTGGTGTGTTGCGTGGTGAGCCGCGAGATGGCGTATTATGCTTCGGTGTGGGACCAACCACGAGTTGGGTTTATGTGTGTGTGTCAATTCAAATTCAATACATACATAAAGCCCGGTCTCTGCGTGAGCAGTGTCTTCAATGGACGCAACTGTAATGCACGGGCATCCTTGGGTATCTCCGCCCGGTCTAGCGGACTACATAATGGTGGGGTCTACCGCATCATGCCACCAGACAAACAGCAGCCCTCGGGCACAAGACCCTCCGTAAGCCGACACGGAGTGTCTGGTGTCCGCTGCGGCGGGAGCTCTCCTTTGACTTCCCTCTCTCCCAGGGGAGGCCTCAGAGCTTCTTGGTGTCCTGCAGTTCGTGTTTATGGTGTCGTTACAGCTGTTGGAGCTTTGTACATTATGCGCGAGGCAGGTGACGGTGACAGGCATGAATACGCGACATTGAGGGGTGTGCTCCACACTTGTGTAGGATTTTGGACTAAAATAGCTATCTTGAAGATCATTCGTTGCAGTGCACAGCCCTGCCCTCACAAACACCTAAGCCTCTCTAGTTTCTGACACACACGCCTGCACAGCTGTGCAGACAACTTTGGGGAGACTGTTTGGAGGTCACTCAGGCATCCATGACGCCATAATAACGTCATTCAAATCCTACGATTTCATAAGCCTCGCGGAGATCAAGGTCAAGAAAAACATAATTGTCGAGTCGTTCATATCTGGTGTTCGTGAGCAGGATTTTCAGATATAAAGACCATCAACTGGCTCTCAAAGCTGTGCAAGTCACGATGACGTAATCAAACAATGACGTATAGAGAGGTATATGTATTAAATAGAGAAATTGCATTGTCCAGAGTAGCCTTTTCTACTTAATCACACCACACCATACCATCACACCATCACACCATATCCGGTGCTTGCTTTAATATCTTCAAATTGGTAATTTGACAAGACACGCTCCCTTTACAAGCGGTATGTCCAGTCGACTTGAAAATTTCATTATGTATGTAGGTTTATTGGAAATTTCTATTAACATCTATCGGTACCTTTTTGTTCCGGGGGTGCGCTTCCATTGATCAGATATTTTAAGTGTCCCAAATTTGCGCTGGAAGCACTCGGTTATCGGGTGACCCAATAACGTTTGCTGCGACCAGTTCACCGCCCACATCGCGAACGTATCCACAGAGTCAGCAAATGGTTTTTCGATACGGGAGCTCGTCAGCCTGACAACAAATTTCGAACAGCGCAACTGCGGCCATTGTGTAAACAACGTATTTCTTAACAGTTTTACGGTAGGCCTGACAGAAGCATAATGCCACGAATGTAATAACTCTCCCGACCGTCATACTCGTCCCTTGTGTTAGTTTGTGTAATCTGACACGCCAGACGAGACCAGCAATCCGAGCAATTATTTTATCCGGAATACATTTGCTTACATCGCCTTTGAAGCGCGCGCCGCCTTCGGCCGACAGGCTATCTTGTAGAATTATCTAGAACGTTCATGTTGTCTCGGCATTACGTTTGCCGCTTCTAACACCGAAAATTATCGCGGATGATTTGTTAGGCGGAGGGCAAATTTAAGATAATTTTGCAAGCTTTTTCAATGTGGCGAATATTTGCTTCGTCATGCACAGCCATATCCATCTACCACGCATGGCACGCCCGCGAGTAAACTAGGGGACAATTTCATGACCTGCCGAACGTGGATGGAAGACCCCCTGGATGCTCATTAAGGGAATGCTTATTCATTGCATAATTTCGTCGCGGCCGAATGTGCCCCTTTGCTAGGCTGCATATGGTTTAGGAGATTGTATCAGTGCGTTGAATTTATTTATATTTGCTTGCAAATTGTTTAGTATTTGTCAGTAATACTCCTCCTCGAAGCTTTGGCTGCACTCGACTGTTCTTCAAAAGAATGCATTATCGAGCATGCATGTGAAAGGTGTTGCCGCATTGTCTAGGTGTTGGCCTTGTAGCCTTATTTGCAAGTTTAAGGTAGGTAGCTCATTGGTAAGGAACTCAGTGCAGGCCTTAGTTTTGCTCATTTGGTCCATGAAATCCTGGTTGGTAATCGTGATCGCTGTTTCTTGTAGGAATAATGGTAAGTTAGGTGTGGGACACGCCGTTCTCGGTTTATACCGAATGTTTGATATGGGCCACACGATTTGATATCAGCCCAGTGTACCTCATCTACCAACGGAACAACCCATCCTAAGATTTTGTATTGCCTATCAGGCCGATGTACTACGTTTGTTTATGCTTTACATTACCTTGGTTTGCCTGTGTGGGCATCACGACAGCAATGCATCAGTCACGCCCCAGAGGCTACCAAAGATTTGCAGCGCGACTGCACAATATGACAGACTCGGCATTCTCAGACAACCTTGGGGGGTAGCATCACATTGACCCCCCCCCCCCCCCCTCCCGTCAAAGCGAGCATGCTGGTCCGAAAGAACTAGCAGTCTGATGTCAAGTTGTTAACAAATTTCAACGCAATTTTCTTCTTGGGACACGGCGAAAGGCGCCCTCCAGACAACACCTGCGTCAAGCCTGGAGCATGCTAGGGTAGCGCAGAGAGTTTGATGACGGTTGAGATGGGGCTCGACGCACACACACAGTTTTCATAAGTAGATATGTCCTTGCGGAGGACCTGCATATTGGACATCATTCTCCAATGCTGTCTGCCACCGGATTCCAGTTCTGTCATGTAGGTATTCAGCTGCCCTGGCATGTCAAGTTCTTTCGTTGTCTTTTTTCGCGGTCGAGGAAAGCAAACCAGTTGTAATTTGACTTTAAAGTGAGGCCTTGGCAAGTCCCGAGGATGGAAGAAAATGTTGTTGTGCTTTTGGCTATCCCATAGACAAGGGTCGGTGCGCGTGCTTTCCTAGTAGCAGCAGTTATCCTGACACCAGTCGAAGGACATTGTCCTAATTGAACGTTTTGGTTCGGGTGTATGACATCAAACTTGTGGTCATTAAAAAAGGCCTCTGGTGATAGGATGATTCTTGATGACGCTACTGGGCATAAGCCTCGTATCATTCTATGTCACATGGTATCGCTTTAGGTTGCTGGCGACAATTTTACCTGCAGGAATTTGGTCTGTAACAAATAGTACACCTTTACCAACCATGGTTCGAAATTTCCCCCAGTGCTGACGAAGCTCTCTCATCGAGGACCACTTCACTGACGCCAACGATGCGGCCGCGATATGAGCGGTAAATCAGCGTGGTGGAAAACGTAAAAATAAGTGGAAAATCAGTGAAAGTCAGTAATGGAAAACGCTTCGGGGCTACTCTATAACTTAGTGCTTTCAGGCACAAATTTGGGGCGCTTAAAATATCTGATCAATGAAAGCACACTCACAGGAATAAAGTATACCAATAGATGTTAGTCAAACTTTCCTACAATTCTAGGTTCCCAACGAAAATTCCCAAGCCAACTAAACGCACCAGCTTTATAGCGAGTATGTCTGCTCGAATTCCCCATCTGAAGATACTGAAGCATGCATTGGATATGGTGAGATAAGCCCATTATGATTACTCTTAGGTGGCAATGACTTCTCTGGAAAATGTCATTTATCTGTTGAGTAAATATGCTCTTCAATGTGTCATTAACTGGTTACGTCACCGCGCCCTGCGCAAATTGATTGAGAGCCAATTGATGGCCGTTTTATGTCGAAATCTTACTCACGAGCGCCAGATGTAAGTGACTTGACAATTGTGTTATTCTTTACCTTGATCTCCGCATGGCTAATGGAATGGCAAGATTTGAATGACGTCATTATAGCGTCATGGATGCCTGAGTGACCTCCAAACAGTCTCTTCGAAATAGTCTGCATATCTTTCCTGGCATGTGTGTCAGAAACTAGAGGGGCCTTAAGTCATTAAAAGGGCAGGGCTGTGAACTGCAACGAATGATCTTGCAAGATGGCTATTTCAGTTCAAAACCTTATAAAGGTGTGGAACATTCCCCTTCAATGTCGCATATTCATGCCTGTCACCGTCACCCTGTCTCGTGCATAATGTACAAAGCTCCAACAGCTGTCACGACACCATAAACACGAACTGCAGGACACCAGGAAGCTTTGAGGCCTCCCCTGGGAGAGAGGGAAGTCAAAGGAGAGCTCCCGCCGCCGCGGACACCAGACACTCCGTGTCGGCTCGCGGAGGGTCTTGTGCCCGAGGGCTGCTGTTTGTCTGGTGGCATGATGCGGTAGACCCCACCATTATGTGGTCCGCTAGACCGGGCGGAGATACCCAAGGATGCCCGTGCATTACAGTTGCGTCCATTGAAGACACTGCTCACGCAGAGACCAGGCTTTATGTATGTATTGAATTTGAATTGACACACACACACATAAACACAATTCGTGGTTGGTCCTACACCGAAGCATAATACACCATCTCGCGGCTCACCACGCAACACGCCAGGGCGCATTTTTATGGCACATTCACCATGAAACATGAACTAAGCACAAAGGTATACACTTGACCGACGTGTATGCCGTGTTGCCTAAGTCTGCGAGCAGCCATACCCGCCAGTGATTCCACCGAAGCCGCCCTGCTAGTGCCAGCTGAAGCTGCCCACGTGGGGCGCGTGGACACCACCAAGGTGGCTCAGGCCGCTGCCAAATCTGTTACCGAACTGGCCGAAACGACCGGCCCCGAAGCGGTTCAGACCGCGTCCGAACTGACCGACGCCTCCTCCGAGATGACCGACGCCTACTCCAAGAGGGCTGAAACCTCCTCTGAGAGGACCGATGCCTCCTGGGAGATGGTTCAAAGCCCCGTTGAACTTGCCGAAGCCACTTCCATGCAGGTTGTTAAAACCACCTCCGAACTGCTGAAATCCGGTTCCGAGA